TGCTGGTGTTAAAGCTCAGGGGGCTCCATTTTTGAGTATATATTTTCTTGGCTTCTCTTGCATAATTAATGGTTGTTACTTTGGTGTTGGAAAAAAGTTGTTGGAGGTTAGGGGGTTTCATCAGTTTTCAAAAAAACTGTTGAACCCATTTCTGAGTAGATGTTAACAGAACCTTTGACTTAAATGACATGTATTGGACACAGAGTTCTGAATCTGAAGGTAGTACTCTGGGCACCATTCAAAGCCTCTGAATTGATTCATGTTTTAAGGGTTAAAGAGGTGAAGTGTTAATTTCTGAAGCACCTAACTGAGTTTTAGGTAGCAGTAAAACAAACATTAAGGCACCTAATGGCGGTAGCATAAAAGTTGTTTGCAGTCACACAACTCCTTCAGCTTTCACTGCTATGACATATTTTTTTTCTTACATCTTCCTTCATGTTTTCCAACATTTCCTTTTAAGAAAACAGTTTTTAATTTATACAGTCTGGAAAATGTTTTTAACATATATTGTGTGGAATCTGCTGGATCTGCAAGAAATGTGGTGCTGCTAAGCTGAGTTACTTTATGCAGAGAAAGGTATGGGAAGTTTGACTGTTTCACAAACGTTTCCCTTTGGTTTTCTTCATTTTTATTAGGTGGCTAATAAAATATAGCTATAATAATGGAAAATGTAAGCTTGTTGGGGACACCCAGTAATGCAGTTTTTCCACTAGTTACAATTTTATCTTATAGTAATTTAGTATGGGTCATTTCTCCCTAACTTGGTTATGAGAAAATCATGTGTAAGAATGTGACAAGTCTTAATATAGGTAAAATATATCTCATCAGCTTTTCTGCCTTCCTCAGTATGTCAACTGCTATGTTAAGGAATGGAATTAAGTCAGTTAGAAATCATTTGTGCTTGACAAATTCACAGTGCCTGGTTTTATCATCGTGTTATCTTCTTAACACATACAAAGAGATTGTTCCTATAACTTATTCCAAATTTTTTCTTGGGTCTGGAATTAGATAGGCAGTTTTATTTGTCTCCAATTCTTCCTTTTAAAGATAGTTACTGTGTTAACAGCAAAAAATAACGAGCTATCTACTACATAGACAAGCACACCCGTGCTGAAAGTTTTGTAGATATAGAGTGATCAAGCACAACCTGAAGGAAAAACTTAAGATTGCATGACTGATTTACTATTTTTGTAGGTATTTTTTATCAGAAGACTACTTTTAAAGCAATAATCTGTTTTTTTTCCAGAATGTGAAGGCATGTGCAGCAGAAAATGGGATATTTAGGAGGCTATACTGCAAAGTAAAATCATGGCATTAAAAATTAGTTTCTATTATTTGTTGATGTTATCTTACTATAATTTAGGCTGCTTTAGGAATATCATTATATATTACATATAGAATACCATCCGTCTTGGCTCTCATAAATACCTTCTTGTTCTAGGCAAATCTATTCAAGATATTTCTACAAATGTAATTTTCTTAATCTTTTGGTTTGTTATCTGTAACTCCTGTTTATATATTCCTGCAGTTGTTCCCTTTCTTCTGTTGCTTATCTTCACTTTCAAAAGCCTTCAAAGCTTGGTGTCCCCTTGTTTACTCTCTCAGTAAATATCAAGAAATCAAACATGCTGTTGGCTCCCTTTTCAAACTACTTTTGGTGTGTTTTCTTCCCACTCATCCCTCATACTTGGGAAGAATAAGTTTCTATTGATCTATTTTATGATTTTCACTCAAATCACATATTTAAATGTCACTTTGCTGTGGTGACTACAAAATTTTGACAACGGGCAGGATGCACAGTGGCTGGGAGCATTGCCTGCTGTCCTGGCGGTCCAGTGATTTCATTGTGCTTCCCTCTGTCCTCCTTCAAAACCTTTTGAGTCCAAGCTCACTCTTGGAATTCGGAGTCACCGGGACAGTGTCCATTTTTATGTTTTATCTGTGCATTGCACATAGAATACTGAGATATGTTTGTGGAGAACAGCGTGAGTGAATCAGCCTGAGTTGACAGAGCTGAGTTAGCCTTTTGTTATCATCCTCAGAGCAAAACACTGCATCACCTTGCAGAATTTCTCTTTCTGTTTAACTGATCCTTTTATGCTCATCAAGACTTATAGTATGTTTTTCATAACAAGTAAGGATATAAACTTCTGTGAACTTTTCAACTGTAAATTGCATTTTGTTCTAAATCTCTTTGATTCTAGTTGAATACAGTGTCCTCCCAGGGTCTGACATAAATGCTCAATAGTGACAACTTATTTCATTTACCCGAAAATGCTGCATTAATTTCAGTAAGGTGGTTTAAATGAGCATCATTGTATACATCTACACATTGTAACATACATAAACATGGTGCTCTCTTGTTGCAGGTCACAGTGCTGTTGACATCACCAAGGTAGCAAGAAGACACCGCATGTCTCCATTCCCATTGACGTCTATGGACAAGGCCTTCATCACAGTTCTGGAGATGACCCCAGTGCTTGGAACAGAAATCATCAATTACAGAGGTATTTTAAGTTGGATTCTTTGTGACAATTAAGGTGGTTATTTCCTTATTTTATAACCTTCTTAAGCACTTGCTCTTTTATGTGAGGTGTCCGAGTACCTTCTCCAGGAGAAATTGCTTAAAGAAATGCCAATAATAGGAGCAGAAGTCTCCTTTCGAAGTCAGAAGTATGTTGACTGAGCTCAGTGCTGCTCCTTGAAGGAATCTCTAATGGAACTTTGATTAAATATATAAATGAATTTTATTCTGGTCTGTGTTATATTGCACAAAGCTAAAACATAGAAACCACAGTTTGCCTCAGTCATTGATTTAACACTGCACTGTAGGTGCCAAGTAGCTCCAAGTTGTATTGTGTTCATTCACTCTGTTCTCCTTCTGTGGGAGATTCTCACTAAACCATCTTTCCAATCTGAAATTAATGATCAAGTCAACGTGATTATTGATTCCAGGTCATGTGTTTCCATGTCTATATCTTTAACAGTTCATCTCAGTCTGTTTTTCCAGAACCTACTTTGCCTATTAGTCATTCCAGAATTTTCTTCTTGTCATGAACACAACAGAATTCCCTTTCTATTCTAATACTACATTTGATCCTTTTCTGAGTCCAAATAGATGTTATGTATACAACACTGAACTCCTGAAATAAAGGATAAAAGTCTGGCATGTACCTCCCTGAAAAATAACACAGCACATGTTTCTTTTGCTATAATAAGGGACTGTAGCATTATTATTCTTTTTTACATAAAAACAGTTTTGATATTTTAAACCTTTAGTGCAAAACTAAGTGCAGAAATAAGTTCTTGGATTTGGGTTGTATTGATTGTAGGGAAAAACTAGTACTGATAAGCTGTTACTTTTCTTTTTCTTTGTCCTTTATTCTATAAATGTGTCTTATTCTCTTGTCCTTCTTATTTTCATTTTTCTCCACCTATTTATCTTTTACACTTCTAGATGAAAACTTACATACTGTTTCACAACACTTGTGTTGCTGCCATTTGTTTCTGAACAGAAGCTGTGTTTTCCCTAGAAGTTAATGAAATGTGGCTAAGAATAGTCTTCTAAGTAGACAGAGTGAGCATAATCCCAGAGGCTATAAGTATGTTTATATATACATACCTATAAAAGTAATGTCACCATCTATTTCTATGTATACACCAGTTTTTGTGCAAACATTTCTATCAACAGTAGGTAGCAGCCTTTTCATATATCTGATCTGTAAAGAGAAGGTATTCTAGTATACTTAATAATTTCTTGGTTGATATTTCATGTTGCTCTTTGTGTTACTTGATTACTGACGTCAAATTCAGGGTGATTCTAAGTCTGGAACATATTAATTATTATTTCTGGCACTGTTATTCTTAAAAAAAATAATGTTCTGAGTCTGCTGAGACACTTCAGTTACGGCTGTCTTCCCTCCCATGCAAAGTAAAAGAGATTTATGGTAAGGTCATCTGCTGTATAGAGATAGTCCTGGTTTAATGGTCACATAATTGTACCAACAATGAAAATATTAACAAAGACATATTCCTTTAAATTTTTGCACTGTGGTGCAAAATTGTATCTTGCAATTTATTTTTCAACAAGTGTATACTTATTTTAGCACTGTAAGATTTCCTAATACATAGTGTGAAATTTCAGAATTGAGTTTCCTAAAGGACACATCTGTGTCTGTGATACTGGAAATTCAATTCTGTTAATCTACAGATACAAATCTCCAGGTGAAATCTCATTTTCAGAAGTTCTTAAGTGATCACCATAGTGTTATACAGATTTTTTTGTATAGACATATAAATGTATATGTTTGTGTGTGTGTGCATGCACACACATCTTAGTTTGCTGAAAGATGTTGATTTTGAAGAATGCAAGTAATTAATAAACAGTTTTTCACTTAATTACATATTCATTTCTTTTTCAGTTAATGTATTTGATAATAAATATGTAGTCTTGGCGGTCTGAATCCTAACTAATTACTCAGAAAAGCACTGTTGTGCTGCGTGTGTTTGTTGTGGTTTTGTGTCTTGAATGAAGACTGAGCTCCTGAAAATTATCTTTCAGCAGCACAATTTCTCTGTAAGGAAAGTGAAATGTTTAAAGTTCTAGGATTGCAATTAATTTACTTAACGAATTACCCAATTAAGTTTTTTTAACTTGATTTATTTGCATTGTGAAATATTACATAGTGTTCAAATCTGCTGAATGTGACTGTACAAGTAGCCAGTACAGTCCTGACTTAGTCTTTATTAAGTCAAGGCATGCTGTAACATAAGGGAGAGGATGAGTAAAGTTGTGTTTTGAAACATGACTTGGACATTTGTAAACGTATTGCTCAGTGCCTGTATAGATCATTTAGCCTCTTCCATATTAAAAAAAAAAAAAGAGACAGTCCTAAAACTTCTTACCAAAGTGGCATAAACCAAAAGCATCTGAAGGCTCTTTCCCACCTATCATCATGAATGTCTGGTATGAAGTCCCCCAGTTACCCTTTTCTTCTAGCTAAATGTAGTTACCTGCACATTGCTCCATGGGTATAGAAGGTTAAGATTTTAGAGAACATGATCATGCTCATTCTTCTGAAAAAAAGAAGCAGCAGAAGTTTAATTAATACTAAAAGTACAAAGTACAGGCAATCCACACTTTATGGGCTTAAGGCTCTGAAGGGAGCAGTTTTTCTGATCTAGTCCAAGAACCCTGTAACTTTAGTAGAGCTTGGACATTTTTTTCCACTGCTTATTCATTTTGAACTAGTTTATTATTTTGATAAAAGTACACTGAAGTGCTATCAGGACAATATTTAGAAAATGGGAGCAAAACCGTCATCTCTAGTGCAATACATGTCTCTGCTTTATCCCAGTACCAATACCCTGAGAAATCACAAGAAAGCTGGGGAGGGACTTTTTAGGATATCAGGTACTGACAGGACTAGGGGGAATGGGGCAAAGCTGGAAGTGGGCAGATTCAGGTTGGATGTGAGGAAGAAGTTCTTCACCATGAGAGGGGTGAGACCCTGGAATGGGTTGCCCAGGGAGGTGGTTGAGGCCCCATCCCTGGGGGTCTTTAAGGCCAGGCTGGATGAGGCTCTGGGCAGCCTGATCTAGTGGGAGGTGTCCCTGCTCATGGCAGAGGGGACCCTTGTGGTCCCTTCCAACCCTGACAGATTCTGATTCTGTTTTAGCAGAGGACTCAGTAGTGTTGGCTTAATGGTTGGACTTGATGATCTTAAAGGTCTCTTCCAACCTAAAGGATTCTATGGTTCTATGATTCTTCACTGAGCTGTAGCAGGAACACCAGCTAGGCTTTAGAAAACACCCAAATTTGGAAAGTGAGTTTAATGTAATTCTCCATTTTATGTTAGAATCAGAAAGCTATGGGCATCACAAGGAGCAGTTTGATGACAAAATATTTCAGAACATCTTTTGAGTTACAATTAGTCAAAATAAGGTCAAACAGTGTATTTCTAAAATAATTGCTCAAATAAAGGAGAGTACAGAGGTACTTCAGATAGTCCTTTACTTGCTGAGTTGCTTCAATTTAGATGCTTGAAGCTTCAGCAAATAATTCTTACATTTTTCTCCCTTTAATAAAATTTTGGCTGGCCATTTATCCCCTTCAAATATTGCACAGCAGAATGCCAGGAACATACTGTTCAACTTCGCTCTAATTGGTGTGATTTTGCATGCAGACAAGAAGTAAAATGGAGACACAACATGCCTGCAAAATTAGAAGCATCACTTTTGTGTGAGATTTTCTACATCTACAAACAGAGGGTGTTTTTACTAGGCCTTTGACAGCTGCCTTTTCTATTCTATAATTTAAATGTCTGTCTGCATTCTTTTTCTCAGTGCAAGTGTACAAGCTTTCCAGCTTTCTAATAACTTCTGTATTGTGTATCACACAGCGAGGCACAAATATATTAATAGCCATCACAGAGGTGCTTTTCTAGTTGGTTTAATGGGTTTTGTCAGCAATTTCATGGCAATACCTATTTCAAAAATGCAACACAAACATTTGCCTCAGGCTAAAAGTGGATACATACGGATGTGAGCACAATGTAGTTATAGCCACTATAATTAATTACTAACTGAATCATTTTGTGTTAATAAGTAAAATAAAATCTCCATTATAATACCAGTTCACTGGAGCTGAGCATCTCTAGAGCAAGTAGAATCATAGAATCCTTTAGGTTGGAAGAGACATTTAAGTTCATCAAGTCCAACCATTGAGCCATTAGTGCTCTAAAGTCCTCTGCCAAAACAGATCAGAATCTGTCAGGGTTGGAAGGGGCCACAAGGGGCACCCAGTTCCAACCCCTCTGCCATGAGCAGGGACACCTCCCACTAGATCAGGCTGCCCAGAGCCTCATCCAGCCTGGCCTTAAAGACCCCCAGGGATGGGGCCTCAACCACCTCCCTGGGCAACCCATTCCAGGGTCTCACCACTCTCATGGTGAAGAACTTCTTCCTCACATCCAGCCTGAATCTACCCACTTCCAGCTTAGCTCCATTCCCCCTAGTCCTGTTGTTACTCGATAGCCTAAAAAGTCCCTCCCCAGCTTTCTTGTAGGCCCCCCTAAGATACTGGAAGGCCACAATAAGTGGAACTCAGTGAACTTTTTTAACAAACCTGTTCATTTACCATGCAATGTTAGGTCTTCTGCCTTCCCAGCAAATCCAGAACCACATTGATTTCCCTATATGAAAACAAGAAACACACTTTATATATGTCTCTTTTTTGGCATGTCTGAAAGGTGATAGTCTATAAAGTACATACCCACGCAAATTCTCTTATCAGAATTATTTGTGCATCCTCTCATTCTTTCATACTTTCAGCTGTATGTTGCTATACTGTGCCACAACACGTTCCTAAGAGCAATGGCCTCTATTATGAGATGAGCTCCCCTTCTTCTACTCAGACATACAGGAATCAAGCCAGTCTCAGTAGTGCTGACCCATGTGCCTCTTCTCAGGCTGTCTGATCAGACGTGTAATAAATCTTCCTTCTCAGTCTCCCACTTATAAAGGGATAAGATACATATTTTCAACTGTTTCACATCATACTAAAAGAAAAGCTCATGCTGGCACCAAAAAAGCAAATAAGTAGTGCACACTTGACAGAGGGTAAAGTAATTCCTATCAATCCCTAGAGTGAGGCAGAGCCAAATTACAACTCATCAGTCATAGCTGCTAAGTGAAGGCAAAGAGTATATTTGAAACAGCCTATTAAAATATTTAGAACTCTTAACAGCGTAAATTTACATAAATAATCCTGACACTTATGTGCACTCACTCTCCATTAAGCAGAAATGCTCTCAGCTATTAGGCAAAGCTAGTCTATTGCAAAACTTCTTTGTCAGTTTATGGAAACTTGTCCATCATTACTGTTTATGTTGAGTCCTCTGGACTCAGTTTATCACCTCATAACTTTTGCACACAGGGTTCACTTTCAAAATGTTATTTTAAAAGCTTTTAAAAATGAACTTTTTTTTCCTTGAAATACAGGTAAGTATGGATTTTTAAGAAATTTCAGGAGAAAAGCTTATCTTAAAGAAACAAATAAATACTCATTTTTTTCAGTCTGATCCTATATCAGAACAATTACCTATGGGCTGGGATACTTGACATTCAGGTCTCCTGTCAACAATTTCACCGTAACTGTGAACACAGACTTACTAAACAAGTCTTTCATCAATACTTTCAGACACCAGCCTTTTTTTGTTTGTGTAGAGGCAGAAGTCAAAAACCTGAGAAATCTATTTATGTCACATACACATACATTTCATCCATCAGAGCACACTCCTATTAACTGTTTTTTTTCCCTTTCACTAGCTGTAATGACATGGAGGATGGTCTTTTCTCTTTTCTAGATGGAATGGGCCGAGTCCTTGCTCAAGACGTATATGCAAAAGATAATCTACCACCATTTCCAGCATCAGTAAAAGATGGCTACGCTGTCAGAGGTAAAGACTCACTTTCAGACAAGCAGTGTAGTGTCTGTAAAACCACTTTATAACATGTTAGCTTACCTATTTTAGGTCCAGCAGTGGTTATTTTGGTTGAGATTTGATTCAAGTCATTGCTGAAATCAGTTAGGTAGAATGCAGCTGTCCTGAAGGAGGACCATAAAGCTGAGTTGAGGTCTCTTAGGTGGATACATATGTACATGAGCAAATATACATCCATGTGTCCTCATAGACATGCATCTGCACTGCTGGTGGGTTTCTTGGAAAGATAAAAGAATTCTGGAGAGTAACAGAACATCTGTTTCTGAATGACAAGATTTGTCTTCTCCTCCTCTGTTGTAGATTTAATCAGAATTTTTTGATATTCTGTTACTTTGTTGAACTGTCACAGATCCAGCTCCCTATTTGTGAATTATTTTATGATTGTATTAGACAATTTTCAAAAGTACATATGTACTATTATGGAAGTACCTCAGAAGAAAAATCTCAGCTTTACTTTGAGAATATTTCAGTTGCTGTATATAAATAAAGTTAGTAGTGTGACTTTGCAGAGCAAGCAGTCTGTGGTTTCCCAGGAGACCTGAATCAATTCTCTACTTTGCCACTAGGTCCTGCATGAACTTGAGCAAGCTGCATCTCTGTGCATTAGTTTTTCCCTTTGTAAAGGCTAATGATATTCACCTCAGATATCTATGGGGGGAAATTAAAATGTACACGATTAAACATTATACTGTTAGTGGTTTTATTGTGGTAGGTGTTGAATCATTGTAACACTGTTGAAATTTGAACACCTGAACACAACACCCAACTTTCTTCTAGGGACATTAAAATATCTTTTTTGTTACTGGCAGCTGAAACAATGGAAAGTAACTGTCCATGAAATAGACTGTCTGAAAGTCTATTCACCCAAGCAGTGGATGTAGTCCACTTCCTCATGGATTTGATATAAAAGCAAAATTCCAGGTCTGCAAGACAAGTTTGACTGTAGCTGTCTATCATCTATGTGTGAGAGACAGGCAGAGCAAAATGACCAGTAATAGCAGCAAGGGAGAGCAGATGTAGCCAGAGAAATATAGGTCATAGAGCACTGAGAAAAGCTGAGAGGGGGAGCTCCGGGTGGAATGCTGACTGGCGAGGGCCGTGGGACAGAGCGAATGCTGTCTTGCAACCTGATTGCCAGAAGGTCAGGGAGCACAAGTACTGTCTCAGTAAACACGCAGAATGAGCAGAACGATCAGGAATG